TAAACACACTTTTTCAATTTAAAAATTAATTTAAAACTGAAAATACATATGTGCACATTTATGTTTAACAAAAAAGAATGAGGACATAATACATCACATTATTAGTAATTTACCTATTGTTCACTTTTTTCTTTTTCTTTTTTTGATAGGGTCTCTCTCTGTTGCCCTAGGCTGGAGTACAGTGGCATGATCATGGCTCACTGCAGCCTCCACCCCTGGGGCGCCCACATGTGGGGGCCACCACCCTGGTTAATTTTCTTTTTCCCCACGCAACAAAAGCCACATTTAAAGTTTTGTTTTGGGAGTCTCGCTCTGTCGCCAGACTGGAGTGCGGGGGCGCGATCTGAACTCACGGCAACCTCCACCTCCCGTGTTCAAACGATTCTCCTGCCTCAGCCTCCTGAGTAGCCGGGATTACAGGTGCATGCCATCACACCTGGCTTATTTTTGTATTTTTAGTAGAGACAGGGTTTTGCTCTATTGGCCAGGCTGGTCTTGAACTCCTGACCTCAGGGTGATCTGCATGCCTTGGCCTCCCAAAATGCTGGGATTACAGGTGTGAGCCACTGCACCCAGTCAAGGATTTTTTTGTTTGTTTGTTTTTTTGAGACAGGGTCTTACTGTGTCATCCAAGCTGGAATGCAGTGGCACGATCTTGGCTCACTGCAACCTCCGCCTCCTGGGTTCAAGCATTCTGCCTCAGTCTCCCTAGTAGCTGGGATTACAGGTGTGTGGCACCATGCCCAGCTACTTTTTGTATTTTTAGTAGGGATAGGGTTTTGCTGTGTTGGCCAGGCTGGTCTTGAACTCCTGACCTCAGGGTGATCCGCCCACCTTGGCCTCCCAAAATGCTGAAATTACAGGCATGAGCCACCACACCAGGCCGAGGTTTTTATGTTTTTTGAGACAGGGTCTTGCCAAGCTGGAGTGCAGTAGCATGATCTTAGCTCACTTGCAGCCTCGACCTCCTGGGCTAAAGCTATCCTCCCACTTCAGCCTCCTGAGTAGCTGGGACTATAAGTGCACGCCACTACACCCTCCTAGTTTTTGTGTTTTTTGTAGAGACAGGGTTTTTTGCCATGTTGCCCAGGCTGGTCTCAAACCCCTGGACTCAAGCGATCTTCCTGCCTTGGCCTCCCAAAATGCTGGGATTATAGGCATGAGTCACCAGACCCGCTGTAATTTTTTTTGTTTGTTTTTGTTTTGTTTTTTTTTTTTACTAGAGATGAGGTCTCACTGTGGTGCCCAGGCTGGTCTGCAACTCCTGAGCTCAAGCAATCCTCCTGCCTTGGCCTCCCAAAGTGCTGCAATTACAGGTGTGAGCCACTGCACCCAGCCCAATTTGTCTACAATAAACATGAATTACTTTTTGTTTCTAAAAGTTTGAAAACAGGCTGGGTGCGGTGGCTCACGCCTGTAATCCCAGCACTTTGGGAGGCCAAGCTGGGAATTTCGCTTAAAGCCAGGAGTTCTAGAACAGTCTGGGCAACATAGTGAGACCTCATCTCTACAAAAAAATAAGAAAATTAGCTGGGCTTGCTGGCACTTGCCTGTACTCCCAGCTACATGGGAGGCTGAGGCAGGAGGATCACTTGAGCCCAGGGGTTCGAGGTTATAGTGAGCTATGATCATGCCACTGTACTCCAAGCCTGGGTGACATGGTCTCAAAAAAGAAAAAAAAAAATGTTTGAAAAAACGGAGGCCGGGCATGGTGACTCACGCTTGTAATCCCAGCACTTTGGGAGGCCGAGGTGGCAGATCACAAGGTCAAGAGATCGAGACCATCCTGGCCAACATGGTGAAACCCCTGTCTCTACAAAAAACACAAAAAAATTACTGGGCGTTGTGGCGCATGCCTGTAGTCCCAGCTACTTGGGAGGCTGAGACAGGAGAATCACTTGAACCCAGGAGGTGGAGGTTGCAGTGAGCCGAGATCACGCCACTGCACTCCAGCCTGGCGATAGAGTGAGGCTCTGTCTAAATAAATAAATAAATATAAAATTGAAATAACGACCTGTGTTCTGCCCACTCATGGGGGTGTTACAAGGATCTTATTTGTATATCGGAAATTTAAGCAGGACTGCCAAGCTTAGGGAAAGGAACCAGTCACAATGCATCTGGGGCTTTTCCTGGGACATTAGGAAAGAGGTAAAGTAGAAATCTCCATTCAGGGAGTGTGGAGACTCAGCAAATATTTTTTGTTTTGTTTTTTGGGGGTATAAACTTCGGTATTTCTTGAATATGAGATGCCATCAAATGTAAACTCAGTATTATTTTATGCTTTACTAAGGAAGAGAGAAAAAATTGTCAATTAAACAATGACACATCTTTGATTATACGTCTGGGTTTCTTCTTTTTTTAAGATGGAGTTTTGCTCTTGTCCCCCAGGCTGGAGTGCAGTGGCGCAATCTTGGCTCACTGCAACTTCCACCTCCGGATTCAAGTAATTCTCCTGCCTCAACCTCTGGAGTAGCTGGGATTACAGGTGCCCACCACCACACCCAGCTAATTTTTGTATTTTTAGAAGAGGTGGGGCTTCATCATGTTATCCAGGTTGGTCTCAAACTCCTGACCTCAGGTGATCCACCCGCCTCGGCCCCCCAAAGTGCTGGGAGGCGTGAGCCACTGCGCCTGGCCTTGATTATATGTCTGGGTTTCTAAGATGTTAAGTCTGAAAAATGTTTGTATTGAAATAAATCAAACAGTTTCGTGGCTGTACATCTCTTACTTCCCGTGAGGTGGGTGGACTGCCTTACCACCACCATCCTCCAGTCACTCTGTCTCAAACCTGATGCCTTTCTGCCCCTAAATGTTTCTCCATCCCCACTCCAGGCAGTAAGTCTTGCCTTTTCCATTCGAGCTGCTACCTGCTGCAAGCTGTCTCACCTGGACCACTAAACTGGCCTCCAAACCAGCCTGCTCATCTTACCCCTCCACTCCATTATTCATGCTGCAGCCAGCATGATCTTTCTACAACTCCGCTCACCCCAGGCCCCTGCTTAAACAGTTCCATAGGCTGCATTTCCTGCAGGGTGAGGTCTGTGCAACTTGGCATTCAGCTTTTAAGGACCTGGGCTCTGCCTGCCATTTTACTCTCCTGGCACTTCCTCCAAATGGAATTACTTGCTACTTCCCCAAAGCACCGTATGTTCTCAGACCTCCAGGCCTTTGCACCAGTTGTTTTCTATGCTTGGACTGCTCTTCCTCAACAAGTATTTATTGAACACATAGTAAGTGCCAGGAGCTGAGAACGAGGCGGGTGCAAGGCAGGCAGGATCTCAGTCCTTATTTAGGCTGGTGGGAGAGAGAAACAAAACCGTAAGCCTATATGGTAATTATTAAGTATAAACACACGTGGTAGGCATTCATAAAGGTTTCCTGAAAATGTCGGGGAGGGTGGGGCGCAGTGGCTCACGCCTGTAATCCCAGCACTTTGGGAGCCGAGGTGGGCGGATCACTTGAGGTCGGGAGTTCGAGACTAGCCTGACCAACATGGAGAAACCCTGTCTCTACTAAAAATGTTTACAAAAACAACCCTGGGTCGGGCGTGGTGGCTCACGCCTATAATTCCAGCACTTTGGGAGGCCAAGGCGGGTGGATCACTTAAGCTCAGGAGTTGCAGACCCGCCTGGCCAACATGATGAAACCCCATCTACTAAAAATACAAAATTAGCAGCATTTGGTGGCACATGCCTGTAAATCCCGCTACTAGGGAGGCTGAGGCAGAAGAATTACTTGAACCTGGGAGACGGACGTTGCGGTGAGCCGAGATCGCGCCACTGCACTCCAGCCTGGGTGACAAGTGAGAAACTCCGACTCAAAAAACAAAAAAAAGAAAATGTCGGGGAGGGAACTTAGAGGGCGGGTCAATAGGTGCAGCAAACTGCCGTGCAGACGTATACCTATCTAACAAACCTGCACGTTCTGCACACGTGTCCTGGAACTTAAAGTAAAATTAAAAAAAAAAAGAAAGAAAGAAAAAGGAAAATGTCAACCACGGCTTCAGAAAGCGATTGGAGCCCAGGATCTACCAGTGACTACCTATGTGACTTGGGGCAGCTGACTGCGCGCGTCTCCACTTCTGTGTAATGGCAGTAATAATGCCCCCCCACAGGATTTCGGGGAGGATTTAATACGCGATACATACAATCTCGCGGTTTCCGCTGGGCCGGAGGGGCCCCCCTACTCCAGGGCGCCGAGGGTCCGCCTGCCCAGGGCCGGGCCCCGCCGCAGGCAGCTGTGGGCGCCACTGTGTGCGCGTACCTGCCCGGAGAGCCGGACTGCCAGGCCCAGACCGCGGACGCCAGGGTCTGGCACAAGGGGCATCGGACGCCAGGCGAGGGGAGCGTCGCCCCGCCCATCTCCCCACTTTGGGGGACAGCCCCCCTCGCTCATTCCCGCCTCCACCCTTGACTTGAATCACTGTTGGGGGGGGTGGGACGGGGCGTGACCCATTCATGCCGGGAATCGGATCCAGATGTTCCCGTGGCGTGTGCAGCTGCATCCTTGCCTTTTTTGGCAAAAAACGTGCGGTCGCGAGCGGATCCCGGGCCGCCCTCGTTAATCCTTGGGAAGAGGGGGAAGGGGGCTGAGAGGGTCTAGGCCCAGACTGGGGATCGGAACCGGGTCCTTGCTCTGCGGGCTTTGGGAAGGGCTGTTGGCGGAGGGGACTATTGGTACCAGCCAATTAAGGCACCCCATCGCCACCCTCGCTTTCGTCTGGAACCTCCCCCAAACCCCTCCCTTCCCTGCATGGAGGAAAAAGCCCTCTGCCAGCAGGGAGGCAGGCCGAGCTCCAGAGGGACGGTAGCCGTGGCGGGGATCCCCTTCATGGGGAGAGACTTCCCACCCCGTGGCCCGGCCCCCCTCCACCCCGCCCTGCAAGGACGAGGTCTAGAAGAGATTCTGAGCCTCCCAGTCTGCAAAAACCCTTCCTTCCCCTTTATACCCTGCGCGCGCACGCGCGCACACACACACACACAGAGGCACACACGGAGGCCCCTGCTTCCTCACACCGCTTTATTGCAGAATCTGGAAGGGGGGTGAGCCAATCTCACCCCTCTGCCCATCTATGGGCAAAATGGAGCTGAAATAAAATGAGAAGACACTCGGTGGCCACCAGCTGGGCAGCACCCTGTACCCTAGGGCCCCCTCATCGGTGGGCCCCTGATCGCTGTCCCCACAGCCTCAGCCCCGGGGGGATGGGGTGGGGCAGGTCAAGCTTGAGAACAGTCCACTTTTGAGGACTTCTCAGGCACCCATAGGAGACCTAAAACCTATAAAGAGAAGTCTAGATTTAAGGGGGCCTAAGTCCCAGAGCCCAGGTTTGGAGGGCTGGGGTCTAGAGCCCTGATTTGGGGAGAGGACTCAGTCTGGGAACCCAGACTGCAGGGGAGAGGGTGAGTTCTGGAGTCCAGGTGTGGGGAGGCAGCTTGACTCATGGAGGCTCTATAAGAGCCCAGGTTTGGGGGCCTGGGTCAGGGAGTACCAGTTTGGGGATGCTGGCGTGGAGAAACAATCCTGGAGCCCAGAGGGCGACCCATTTTTTTTGGTTGGGGGGTGGGGCTAAGTCCCAGAGGTGGTTTAGAAAAGGAGCTACAGTCCTGGGCCCGTGGTATGGGAAAGCCTGGGTCCAGGAGCCTGGCTCAGGGCCCTGCCTGGCTACAGCCCTGGCAGAGCACTTGGTCTCCATCCGGCACGAAGCCTTGGCCCACCAGGGAGGTAGAGCAGCGGGCGCAGGAGAAGCAGTTGTGGTGCCAGTGTCGGTCTTCAAAGGACACATACTTGCCTCCACCGAGTCCTGGAGGGAGGCTGGAAGTTAGCTCTGCAGATCTAGGGATGGTCCGGCCCTCAACTTCACCCAATACCACATCCCATTCCCTTGCCTGCACCCTACCCACTCCGTTCTTTGACCCTTGTCCCACCTACGATGGGGCGCTTGCAGCTGCTGCACTTAGGTGCAAAGAGTTCTCCAAAACAGGCCACACAGTAGGGATCTTCATCCCGGGAGGTGAACTGCTGCCCTGCCAGGGGCGTCTGGCAGCCGGTACAGACCAGACATTCTCGATGCCAGGGCTGATCACGGTATGTCACTCCACCCTGTGTCAGCGTCTGTGGGGGCAGCATTCATTAGTAGGTATGAGTGGGGATTCCCACCCCACGACAGGCCTTACTCACCCCCACCTGGCTGGCCCAGCCCCCACCTTGCTGCAGCGGGCGCAGCGAGGAGCAAACTTGTTCTCATAGCAGGGCACGCAGTAGTGAGCACCCTTGTCGGGCACAAAGGAACGGGAGCCCAGCGGCTGCTCACAGCCACTGCACAGGAAGCAGTGCTCATGCCATGTCTGGCCTCCGTACTCCAGCTTCCGGGACCCTGTGGGGAACAGGGGTCCCATTTAGAGGCTGTGTCCCATGCTCCTGAGGGCCACCCTCTGTAACTTCCCCGGGAGTCTCCACTCCTCTCGCAGCCTGAGCAGGGTGGTGTCCAGTGCACATGCAGCAAGAACCCCCCTGCCCCATGTACATTACACATGCTAACCTCTCCCCAGACACCGGACATGATGACCCAGCTAGACACGAGGATTTTGGCATATGTTAAGCCCCCATATGTCCCAGAAATGACAATTTCAGCACATATCGAGCCTCCATGTAACAGTCATGAAGTCTCACTATGAGCTAAGCCCTCATATAACAGATGTGATGATTTCAGCACTCACACGGGACCCCACATGTACCAGGCAAGTAAGTATATGCCCTAATGCCCTCGGCATGACAGGTTCAGTACATGCTAAGCCCTCGCATCTCCTTGGCACACCATTCTCCATAGGTACTGAGTCCCAACATTTCTATTAGGCATGCAGGTCCCCACACATGTTAAGCCCTCTGTTTACCTGCCTCTGCACACACTAAGACCCAATGCAATAAGCACGACAGTCTCAGCACACCTCTAGTTCCTACATGTACTAAACATGCAGATACTCACACATGCTAAGCCCCCAAGTATGTATCACATGTGTCAATCTGCCTGCACATAGTAACCCCCAGTATACCAGGCAAACAGATCCTGCATATACTAAATTTCCAGAAACATGCTGTGTGTGCAGGTCTTTACACAGACCAAGTCTCCATGTATCAGACAGACACATGCAAAGACCCTACGCAGATGCCAGGCATGCCAGTTCTCACACAAGATGAGCCCCTGAGGACATACCAGGCATGACAGTTTCCCCACAGGCGGAGCACTGCGAGGAAAACGCACTGCAGTAGCAGTCATTGCAGAGCAGCTCACTGTCCTGGCAGGTGAAGGGTTCATCGGCTAGTGAGCGCTGGCAGCGGCAGCAGCGGAAGCAGCCCTCGTGGAAATGGCGGTCTTCATAGAACAGCTCCTGTGGCGAACACAGCGGGGGCACTGGCACCCAGGCCTGGTGGATCCATCCTTTGCCCCCTTCCACTGGTCACCACCCACCTCCTGCCTGGCCTGGCCCTCTCCTTACCCTCGAGTCATGCCCGATAAGCTGCTGGCACTCGGCGCAGGTGTTGGCAAAGGTATTGTCATAGCAGGGCACACAGTAGGGGCCGCTGTCTGTCTGGATGTACTTGCGTCCATACAGGGACTCGCTGCATTTTGCACAGTCAAATGACTCGCTCATCGTGGCAAGGAGAGAGAACCCTGTTAGGAGCACAAGGTGGAACTGGGGTCACACAGAGAGGCTGTGACTTGGCTCCTGGCAAATAGGCCTCTGCATTCAAAACACAGAAACAGACCCGGCATAGGAAATGCCAGTTCAGAGTAGGTGGTGATGGGGAAGGGGTGCTTCCGGGAAACCAGGAGTCCCGCATGTTTCTTTCTGTATTTAACTGGGGATAGGAAGAGGTCAGAAAAAAAACCAGGAAGCAGAAGTTGTTTTCTTATCTAGGCCCTAGCAGATCTAGGGGGAGGGGGCTTTTCCTGGGTCGGTGACTCATTTCCTGCCTCAGCCAGCATTTAGCCTCCACTGTCCCGACTGTCCCCAGCGTGGGAGAAGCAGGGGCAGGGAGCCACCCCACTCTACTCCAGATGAGCAGTACTCCCACCCTCTCCTGACTCGGGACTTTAGGAATATGGATCAAGGAACCCTTACCCAGAGCTCTGGAGTACGGAACTTAAGAGATGGGAATGGGCTGTTCCTAGCCCCTCCTGATCCAAAAAACAGTGGAATGCTAGAGAGGTGCTGGACTGATGAATGGTGGAGGAGGCCAGTGTGAGAGGTTAGGCCTTCCCTCCCGGGGCATCAGCCAAAGAGGCTCAAGCAGGAAGGAAATCCTGCAGGCTGGACACAGCCAGGCTTCCCCAGCTAGACCCTCTGCCCTCATCCCCCTACCCCCACTGTGTCTCTGGTCACACTGGCTTGGACAGCCTTGGCCTGCAACATCTGCAGCAGCTGTGGCAGCACAGATGGCCAGATGTCAGGTTTTGCCAGCAATGGGGAGAAAAAAGGAAAATGAAGTGTCGGGGGAGGCAGAGGGGAACTGGAGACAGACTGAGAGTGCAGTGTGCCCCCTGCCACCTCCTGCTAGCATCTGGCAAAACCCCAGTATCTTTCCATCCCCTGGGGTCATGATTTCCCTCCCACTGCCTCTGGGAGAGAAGGTCTCTCCCACCTTTTCTGATTTCTCAGGGTTTGGGACTAGGGAGCTGAAAGCAGAGACAGCAAGAGCCAGTGAAGACATTTTGTCCCCAGTCAGGCCCCATCTTGGGTGGGGAGTAGGACAAGGGGGAGCCCTGAGAGCTGCTGCTGGAGACACCCAGCCCCCGACCAAACCTCAGACACTTTCCATTTTCTCAGGAACAAAGCATGTTTGTGGGATGAGGTCATCCACACAGCTGCCTCTGGAACAGGAGCCTGGGGAGTAGAGCGGTAGGGAAGTGGGGTTCCCAAACCTTTCTGCTGCCCGATTCCAGTCACTAGCCCCAAAGTCAGAGCTCCCACCCCTGCTCTCTTCTATCATGAAGCCTGCTCTCTAAGAGCTGGGATACTGGGCTAGTGGAGAGGAACCACCAGGACCCATAGGAAGGAGATGTTCTCACAGCTGTGGATGAGCCCGGGGAAGTTACAGTGACACACAAAGGAATCCACCAACCCACTCTCCCACAAGGCCCCAGTGCTGGCAGTCACCAGGGCCTGCCCTGGCTCAAGCTGAAGGAAAAGTCCTCCTTTTCTCATCCACCCCCAGTGCGAAATTCTTGACAAAAAGCGCTGCTCTGGCTTGAAGTTCAGACTCCAGGCACCAGCAGACGCCCCCAGCTTGGAGGCCTGACTCTCCATACATCAAGCCTCTGTGCAATGGGAGAACAGCCAGCTCCCACTTCAGGCCAGGGTATGAGGCCACCAGGGGCCAGGGTCTTTAGAGCTGGAACTCCTGGGCTGGGGGCTACGGTGAAAGGTAGAGAAGATACTCTTCTTTCTCAGCCCCTTTCCTGCCACTCAGGCCCAGGTTTCCTCTGGCCCAACATCTGAGGATTGCCTGGGCTGTCAGCCACGGGGCAGCAGGGGGCCACACAGGTGGAATGTGTCCACGGGGGGTGCCTGGGCCTCTTCCTTCCTTCTTGGCTTGGCCCACTGCAGCTGCCACCTTCTCAGGCCCAGGCTAGCCTTGGGTCCACCCCCTGGGAGACAGTCAGCACTCAGAAACCAGGGTAACCCAAATAGGGTATGGGCATCGCTTCTATTTCCTTCCCAGAATCCCCCAATGCCCTAGTCTATCCAGCTGGACTCTGGTGAGGACAGAGTAAAGGGCACCAACAAGGCCCACCTGTCTCTGCCCATACCCCTCTCCCCGCCCTTTTCCCTGGCAAGGCTGGCGACTAAGGAGACTGAAGGGAGCCAGTCTTGTATTTCTTCCTGACTGGCAGTGGGGCGGGGTTTGGGGGAGACTGTTCCTCTACAGATGGCTCACAACCCCTGCACCTCCAACAATCTCCCCTCACAAGGCACCTCCCAGTGAACCTCCTGGAGCTCAGAATGGCTGTGTAACTGGCTATGGTGTATGAAGCCGCTCAAGCTACAAGGTTTGCATCCTGGCTCCTACACGTACTGGCTGGATGATCTTGCACAAGTCACTTAAGCTCCCCAAGCTTGTTTTCCCATCTAACTAAATGAGATACTACTACTTCCTACCTCCTAAGGTTGTTGTCAGGCTTAAATGTAATGATACTTGTAAAGCACCTGGCAGATAATAAATACTCAGAAAATAGTAGCTATTATTTTACTATTAGCACCCTCACTCATACTGGGGCCAGATAGCCCCAGTATAGTTTCACAGGCAGGTCTAGGTCAAGGAGCTGGACTGGAATTTTTTTTTTTTTTTGAGACAGAGTCTCGCTCTGTCGCCCAGGCTGGAGTGCAGTGGCACAATCTCAGCTGTCTGCAACCTCTGCCTCCTGGGTTCAAGTGATTCTCCTGCCTCAGCTTCCCGAGTAGCTGGGACTACAGGTGTGTGCCAACATGCCTGGCTAATTTTTTGTATATTTAGTAGACATGGGGTTTCACCGTGTTAGCCAGGATGGTCTCGAACTCCTGACCTCATGATTGCCCGCCATGGCCTCCCAAAGTGCTGGAATTACAGGCACGAGCCACGGCACCCTGCCTGGACTGGAATTTTTAAATAGAGATAGGGTCTTGATATGTTGCCCAGGCTGGTTTCAAACTCCTGGGCTCAAGCTATCCTCTTACCTTGGGTTCCCAAAGTGCTGGGATTACACGCGTGAGCCACCATGCCAGCTCAGATTTTTTTTTTTTTTTTTGAGACAGGGTCTCACTCTGTCACCCAGACTGGAGTGCAGTAAGTCCATCTCAGCTCACTGCAATTTCCACCTCCCGGGTTGAAGCGATTCTCCTGCCTCAGCCTCCCGAGTAGCTGGGATTACAGGAGGGCACCACCACACCCGGCTTAAACATTTTTGTATTTTTAGTAGAGACGGAGTTTCACCATGTTGGCCAGGCTGGTGTCGGCTAGGCCTTTTTGTTTTTGTTTTTTTGTTATGAGTTGGGGTCTCACTCTGTTGCCAAGGCTGCAGTGCAGTGGCACGATCATGGCTTACGGCAGCCTTAAACTTCTGGGCTCAGCCAGGTGAGGTGGCTAATGCCTATAATCCCAGCACTTTGGGAGGCTAAGGCAGGTGGATCACCTGAGGTCAGGAGTTCAAGACCAGCCTGGCCAACATGGCGAAAACCCACCTCTGCTAAAAATACAAAAATTAACTGGGCATGGTGGCAGGCGCCTGTAATCCCAGCTACTCAGGAGGCTGAGGCAGGAGAATTGCTCGAACCAAGAAAGTGAAGGCTGCAGTAAGCTAAGATCATGTCATTACACTCCATCCTGGGTTACAACAGCAAAACTCTATCTCAAAAAAACAAAACAAAACAAAAAAAACCTACTCTGGGCTCAAGCAAGCCACCTGCCTCAGCCTCCTGAGTAGTTGGGACTACAGCCACATGCCACCATGCCCAGCTAGGTTTTTCTGTTTTTTGTAGAGATGGGGTTCTCACTATGTTGTCCAGGCTGGTCTTGAACTCCTGGTGATCCTCTGGCCTCAGCCTTCCAAAGTGCTGGGATTACAGGCGTGAACCACTGTGCCCAGCCTTGTCTGAAATTTGACCTGGACATTCTCAGCCTAGGCCCAGGGAGAGAATAGGAGGCCCCAGGCCCATGGGGCTTGCTGAGGACACCAGTGGGGGCAGTGGTTGCTCCAGCCCAGTCAGCCTGACTCTAGTAAGCATAACTCTTGAGATCTCCCACACAGGTCCACAGGTGTAGACACCTGCATGCTGCTTTGCCACTCACAAAGTCCATGCCCACCACCATCTCATCAGATCTCACAAAAGGCAGGCAGGACAGAGTATCATCCCCATTTTACAGATGAGCACAAGGAGGCAGGAATAGAGCAGGCTTATGCCCGAGGTCACTCAGTTATCAGGACCCAGGTCCCCTGCCTCCCAGGCCAGAGCTCTTCTGTCTCCCTAAAAATACTGCCCTGGTGATGAAGGGGATGATCAGCTTTTAAGGGCAGGGGGACAGGAGATGCACTAGAGCCTGGCTCTTCTCCCCAGCTGCCAGCCCTGTGATTGGAAGGCACCCAGAAGCCTTTCCAATGCCCCATGCCAACCATTCAACTCTTCTGTCCCCCACCCCCAACATGCCCACTATCCAGGAGGACCCCAGCCAGGTCCCACAGCTGTGAGTCAGGATCAGAACAGACCCCTCCCCCACCTTCTAGAAGCTGACAGGAGACTTAAGGGGAGAAATTCAACTCCCTCAACCCTCACCCTCTGCTACCGGGCACCAACCCCAAGCTCTGCTCTCCCCCATGGGACCTGGAAGTCAGAGAAGTCTAGGGAAGGGGGCTGGGGAGCAGGATCCCGCAGCTGCTCTGGGGACAGGAGAGGAACAGTTCATTCACCCTGGGTCCCCCAGGGCAGAGGCAGCCTGTCCAAGATTTGAGTTTAAAAATAAGTTGGGGCTGTCTTGGTGGCTGTGTGTGTCCACGGGGTTCTTCTTGATCTCGAACTTACTGTCTCAGGGCCTCTGCCTCATGGGGGATTGGTGGGCTCAGAGTTTCTGTTTCCCCAGAGCCTCACTTCCCAATGGTTCAGGTCTGGGTAAGTCAGGGGCTGTCCTGGAAGGTGTCAGCCCACCTAGGTCTCTCTGCCCCCACTAAGTCTCAGTCTCTGGTGTCTGTCTCTGCTTCACTCAGCATCTCTGTGTCTGGACACAGCTTCTGTCTTTAGCTTTTGGACGACTCTGTACCTTGACTGGCTGTCCCCCGGCGGCCCATGCCTCTGTGGATCTCAAGTCTTGGTCTCTTCTTGTCTACATGGCTGAATGTCTCAATCCCCACCACATCCCTTTCTCTGTCTCTATATCCAAGTCTCTTTCGCCACCTCTGCATACCTGAGTGTCTCTGTCTCTAGTCTCTGAGTGTCTCTGCAGGCCTCAGAGAGCAGATTCAGCCTGAGGCCAATGACGCCCAAGCCTCAGGGCACCTCCAAGGCCTGGGGAAGGGCCCCAGGGAATGTGTTCGCTGGGGTCCCACGTATGTTTTCTGAAAATGCGCCAGAAAGCCTGGGACGGCCCCCATGTCTCGGGTCTGTCCACCGGTAACACTGTACGCCCGGTGTGTCCTTGTTTCAATGGTCTCGGTAGCCTCCTCCTGTGCCTCGAGTCCCTGCCTGTCTTGGTCTCTCGCTCCACTGGGCTCTGCGAGAACCTCAGTTTCTCCAGCGCTTCTGGTCGGTCTGTCTCTATCCGGCTTTTCTATTTCAAACTTAGCCCCCTCCCCCGCCCAACTCTCGCTGCCGCCCCCGCCCCCGCCCCGCCCCGCCCGGCAGCCCGGAGGGGTCTAGTCCGGGCGGGCGCTCTCCCGGGCTCGGCGTGCCCCGGGCACCTGTGGCCAGAGCCTGGCGGGTACAGGGGGCCGGGGCCGCGGCTGGCCTCAGCCCTCCGCGGGTCCTTTCGCTCCCCGGCCTGGGCGCGGGGGCGGACTGCCGGGGCTGGGAGCCGGGGTCGGCGGGGCGCTCACCTCGAAGCGGGCGGCGGGAGCGGGGAGCGCGCGGCGCGGGCGGGGCGGGGAACCGGGCGCCGCGTCCCTCGGCGGCTCCTACCTGCGGGCCGGGCCAAGCGGGGGCCGAGCGAGCTGCCGGCGAGGCTGCCGACTGCACACGGACCGTGTGGGCGAGTGGGAGCGCGGCCCCAACCCCTCCCCGAGGAAGTGAGCGCGGGCCCGCCCCGCCCGGACCCCGCCCCCGGCCCCCCAGCCCGCTGCGGGGGCCAGACCCCGCCCCCACCTCCCTTTCGGCCGCCAGCGGGCCCGGCCCCCTCCTCCTGCCCGGCCTAACCTGGCTCTCCCAACCTTCAGGCGGCCGGGACCCCGCCCCTGTCCCCTCCCCGCAGCCTCTGCTCTCCTCCCCTCCCACCCCCCCCCCCCGTCCCCAGCTGCCAGAGGGAGACTGTTGTATTCTATCTCAGGCCGGGGACATCAGACCCCACAGACCATGGTCCACTGGGGAAGAGTCCTGTGGCCTCCTCGGATTTCCCTACCCCCTCACCTTACCTTTAGGGGTGACACTCAACCTGGACTTAATCCAGCCTGGAGGAGGAGGTTTTGACTCTACTGTCATGAGCCTGTCAGCGGGCACCAATGTGTTCTCTGAAAACATGGGGCGAAGAGAGGACCCCTCCCCACCACAGGGCCTTGACCTCCAAAGGGTTTTACTCCACAACTTTGAGTAGCAAAAACAGGGGTAACCACCTCCCCACCTCCAGTGGCCTCCTGACGCTGAGAAGTCCTGTCTTGCCTGGGTTTCCGCAGTGCCCAGGAATAGTTTTGACCTTTGAGGCCCAGGAGAGACCCTAATCCTTGGCCCCATGATCTTTGGGCTTCTAGGGTGGGGTGTGAGGAGTGTGAGAGGATGGGGCACTGCAGGGGTGGTGGAGGAGAGGGGAGGGGACCTCTGCAGTGTCTAAACCTCTGGCTTCCTCCCTGTGTCCGTGAGGGAGGACTGGCGCCTGCTAGGGACACGAGGCCCCTCCAGGTCCTTGAGGCCACCCCCCCTGGGATCCTCAGGCTTGTCACTAGGAATAAATAGCCTCGGTCTGGAAGGGGTGGGGGAGGGAGGGAGGCAGGAGGCTCTACTGTGCTGTTAGTGGAAACAAGAGACAACAAACCAACCCTGGAATAACCTTAGCGTCTAGAGTGAAGATTCAGGTGCCCACAGAGGCCTCCCCACACCCCAGGCTGGGTGCAGCGGAGCTCTCACAGAGGAACTAACACCCTCCCAGGCTGGGACTCCTGAGAACCTTTCCCTCCCATCTCTGTGTCATGCCTGGGTTCCTGGGTCCCAAGTCACCCTCCAGGCCTGGTTTCCTTTCAAAATTAAATTATTGCTTGTTTATTATTGCTGTTGTTGCCTAAATGGTAAGAGCCATGAAGGCAGGGCTCCGTTTTGTTCCCCACAGCCTTCTCAGTACTTACTTCAATATCCGGCACATAATAAACATCTGATGAATGAATGGATAGCAGACACTGCTTCAGTATGTATGCCCGTCTAACATCCTTGGTTTGTATCACAGGCACCTGTTATCTGGAGTCCAGGCAGTGAGCATCCAGCCCATGGATGGGGACTTTCTCTGGGATTTTTTTTTTTCTTTTTCTTTTTTTTGAGACAGAGGCTTGCTCTGTCACCCAGGGCGGAGTACAGTGGCGCAATCTCGGCTCACTACAACCTCCACCTCCTAGGTTCAAGCGATTCTTCTGCCTCAGCCTCCCGAGTAGCTGGGACTGCAGGCACGCACCATCACACCCAGCTAATTTTTTTTGTATTTTTAGTAGAGACGGGGTTTCACCATATTGGCCAGGATGGTCTCAAACTCCTGACCTTGTGATGTGATCTGCCTGCCCCAGCCTCCCAAAGTGCTGGGATCACAGGCATGAGCCACCATGCCCGGCCTCTCTGGGATGTGTCTGGCAGGTGTAAGGGACTCCCAGCCCAGGGGAGTGCAGTGAAGACTACTCAGCCTTGGTGGAGTGGGTACCAAGAGGAGGTCAGCTCTGGGGGACGGGAGCGCAAAGGTGGGGAGCCTTCAGAAAGCAAGGGGAAATGAGTGAGTACAGAAGGGGCCTGATAAAAGGCAGAGTATTGGAATCTCTGTTCTTGATGCATGGCTCTAATCTCTCCTAAATAGTCTTAATGAGAGCCAGTACTTACTGAGTTCTTTCTTTGCACCACTCCTAAACACTTTACATATATTAAAGTGATTATTCAATAACTTTATTAGATATATGTGCATATATATTTGTTTGTTTTTGAGACAGTGTGTTGCTCTGTCACCCAGGCTGGAGTGCAGCGGTGCAATCACAGCTCACTGTAACCTTAACCTCCTGGGCTCAAGTGATCCTCCTACCTCAGTCTCCCAAGTAGCTGGGACTACAGGTGTGGGCCACCACACCCAGCTAATTTATTTTAATTTAAATTTTTTGTAGAGGCAGGGGTCTTATTAAGTTGCCCAGGCTGGTCTTGAACTCCTGAGCTCAAGCGATCCTCTTGCCTCAGTCCCACAAAGTGCTGGGATTACAGGCATGAGCCACTACTCCTGGCCTAAATATATATTTTCATCCTCATTTTAAAGATGAGAAAATGGAGGCACAGAGAGATTAAGTAACCTGGCAAGGGTGACACAGGTAATAATGGCAAAGCTAGGATACAAATCCTGATGGTTGGCTGGGCATGGTGGCTCTTGCCTGTAATCCCAGCACTTTGGGAGGCTGAGGCAGGAGGATTGCTTGAGCCCAACAGTTTAAGACCAGATCTGGGCCAGGCGCGATGGCTCACACCTGTAATCCCAGGATTTTGGGAGGCCAAGGCAGGCGGATCACGAGGTCAGGAGATCGAGACCATCCTGGCTAACACTGTGAAACCCCGTCTCTCCTAAAAATACAAAAAATTAGCCAGGCGTGGTAGCGGGCGCCTGTAGTCCCAGCTATTCTGGAGGCTGAGGCAGGAGGATGGCGTGAATCCGGGAGGCGGAGCTTGCAGTGAGCCACTGCACTCCAGCCTGGGTGACCGAGTGAGACTCTGTCTGAAAAAAAAAAAAAAAAAAAGACCAGATCTGGCAACATAGTGAGACCCCCATCTCTATTAGAAAAAAATCAAATCAACTGGGCGGGGGCTCAAAAAAAAAAAAAAAAAAAAAAAAAAAAAAAAAAAAAAAAAAAAAAAAAAAAAAAAAAAAAAAAAAAAAAAAAAAAAAAAAAAAAAAAAAAAAAAAAAAAAAAAAAAAAAAAAAAAAAACGGCTTGCTTGTAATCCCAGCACTTTGGGAGGCTGAGGCAGGCGGATCACGAAGTCAAGAGTTTGAGACCAGCCTGGCCAACGTGGTGAAACCCTGCCTCTACTAAGAATACAAAATTAGCTGATCGTGGGGGTGGGCGCCTGTAATCCCAGCTACTTGGGAGGCTGAGGCAGGAGAATCGCTCGAACCCAGGAGAAGGAGGTTACAGTGAGCCAAGATCGCGCCACTGCACTCCAGCCTGGGCGACAGAGCAAGACTCTGTCTCGGAAAAAAAAAAAAAAATCAAATCTAGACAGTCAGAAGTGGTAGTGCCCTATGCCAAAAACGAGCTTCACCATTAGGCTCTAGTATCTGTAGTCATTCATTCTCTGTAAACCTCAGTCTTCTCACTGTGAAAAGTCTGCCTCACAGCATTGTTTTAAGGATTGGATGAGAGCACACAATAGGTTGTCAGTATGTGGGGACAGTCCCCCTTTTCATGGTCAAATGTTAAGGTTCAGCTACTTGGACTTGGAGTCTGGGGGCCAGAGAAAGTTAGCTCTCTGCTTGGGCCACCTGGGCTAGGGAAACCGGCCTAGGGGCAAGCCTCCCACAGTGAAGCTGTGTCTCCCTGTCTCAATTTCCACTCCCCAGTAGGCTCACATTTCCCTGCTCACTCTATTTTCGTTGGCCCAAGAGGACGTGCCCCAGGGAAGTCCAGGGATCAACCACATGGACTCCCTGTTCCTGTTCCCTATCTGTCCTTCCCCCTCCCTGGGAAACAGGTGTGTCTGAACTGGGGCTGGAAGCAAAGCCTGAGAGCTGGATGACTGGCCTTGGGTGAGTAGGATCCTGTTGTCCCTCACTCACCCTAGAGGTCCCCACACACTCTTTATCTCATGCTTAGGACACCCCTGCTGTTTTTTCACTCTGCAAGGGTTTTCAAAAGGAGGCCCTGGGTGGCTACTGACAGGCCTCTCATGGTTTCCTCTGGGTGCTGAATCACTCTCTGATGCCTGTAATCACAGGCCCTCCTTCCCCCTAGTGAGAACACAGCCTTTCTTCTCTGGGTGTATTGCTCACTCTTACTTACTGGCTGCCTAGAGCCCTTGAAGGCCTCAAGGCTTTGTAGATAACCTCTTCCAAATTGTATTTTTAGTGGAGACGGAGTTTCACCATGTTGGCTAGGCTGGTCTCGAACTCCTGACCTCAAGTGATCTGCCCGCGTCAGCCTCCCAATATGCTGTGATTACAACCATGAGCCACTGTGCCTGGCCGCCTAGAAACTTTCCTTGTGACCCCAAGCTGGACACTGAATTTGTGGGTGGAGAGGGTGAAATAAGTAAGTGACTTTCACAGAGCTTGGGAAGTGGGAAGGGCAGAGCAAGAATTAATGTAGTTAAATGTTGACTGTGTGAAGGGCACCATGCCATGTGGTACTCATTACCTCCTTCTGTCCTCACAAAAAATAGATGA